GAGGTTGAGGGAGCTGGGCTTGTTCAGCCTGGAGAAGAGAAGGCTGAGAGGGGACCTCATAAATGCTTACAAATATCTGAAGGGTGGGTGTCAGGAGGATGGGGCCAAACTCTTTTCTGTGGTGCCCAGCGACAGGACAAGGGGCAATGGGCATAAACTGAAGCAGAGGAAGCTCCAGTTGAACGTGAGGAAGCACTTCTTCCCTCTGAGGGTGACAGAGCACTGGAACAGGCTGCCCAGGGAGGTTGTAGAGTCTCCTTCTCTGGAGATATTCCAGCCCTGCCTGGACAAGGTCCTGTGCAGCCTGCTCTGGGTGACCCTGCTTGGGCAGGGGGTTTGGACTAGATGACCCATAGAGGTCCCTTCCAACCCCAAACATTCTGTGATTCTGGGAAGCGGTCACAGCCAGAGTCGACGCGGACCACAGCTTCACCGTTCAGGGTCACCAAGCCAGACCCTGCCCAAAGAGGGGCTGGCAGCAGCAAAGGAACGCAGGCTGTGGACGGAACTCCCCTTCTTGCTGGCTTGGCTCGTTTTTCCCTGTGTAAAGGTGCACTCACACATAAAGGTGGAAGGTCCGAGCAACTTGGCTGGCAGGAGACAAAGCTGAAGCAGGTACGGTGGTATCACGACCAGGATTTGTGACCCGTCACTGATCTCTCTACCCACATGCTGCGCAACAGCGTTGTTTAGAGTCCTGCTCTGGGGGAAACACAGGATGAACATCACTGCCACCAGCATCGTGGGAGGGCAGGACACGACGCGACGGCTGACGCACGGCCACATTTCAAGGAGAGGTTTCTGAGGACAGCCCTCCAGAGCGCTTTACACCTCCACCCCACCCTCCCAGACAGAAGCGTTACTGGACTTTCCCAGTTCTGTATCTTGGGGGGTGACAAAGGCTGCTCTTCACCTCTTTTTCACCCTCCCACTCTTTGTTTTGCTCAAGTACAGCTTTCCATTTTGCAGCCACACACACGAGACACCAATGCCATCTGCAGAATGCAGAAAGCAGAGAACAAGACATTAGGCAGCAGCGCTGCTCCAACACACAAGCCTTTGTCTTTCAGACAGCGACGCTCAAGTTACAGGAGATTCCTGCAGACAAATGCATCCAAGTTGCTCTTTCAAAGGCTGCACAGTCAATCCACACTAATTAATTTTCACAGTATGCTAACAGTGAATTCCAACACTTAAAACTGTAACTTACGAACTTTAACATTTATAAACTTCGTCTCCTGATTTCTTCTAGGTTCCACCCAACCCTGGACACTTGCTCTGTGTTACAGCAGGTGAGGACGATTGGTGATATCCAGACACAAACGACAAAACCACCTTCTGCGGGGCAGAAGCGTGCACACCGCTGAGTACTCTGCCACACTGTGCCTTGCACTGCTGAAATTCCCTGCTTGGTGCAGGACCTTCCCTCCTACTTGCCACAAATCCTTCTCCAATTGTCTAGCAATGGTCCTCAACACCAGCTCCCTCCCACGGCCCAAGACGTGCTCACTGGTCCCAGTCAGGACCATTCCACTTTGACCAATCGACCAGAAAGCTCACCCGAAAGCTCTAATCCGAGGTCCTGCTCCTCAGGAGCTCCATATGCCCACACCCCTCTTCCCTTGAAGTCCATGCAAAATCTCAGTTAAATGCCACCCCCTGAACTCTTCCTCCCTCCCAGATTCCCTGTTTTCCCACCAACACCTTGCCTCACGTGTCCGTGCTCCTCACAACCTGTCCCCAGCCTCCCGCTGTCTTGTCACCTTACCACACCGGCAAGCCCTGCTTTTGTTGCATCTGCAATACCAGCACCTACTGGCTCCCATCAGAAAACGAATCCCCTCAGAAAATCCAGACTCCTCTTCCTCACTCTTCAAACTCCCCTTTTGCTGCAACACATCCATGCCAACAGTTCAGGGCAAGCGCTGGGTGACGACAGCCGCTGTCACCTGCAAAAACCGTGCAGACTCCTCCATGCTAGGGCATCCCCCTGTTTGCTGCTCCCTCCCGCTCCTCCCCCAGGCTGCTTGTCTCTCCAGCTACCTGACGCGGATCTTTGCACAGCAGTCTCTGCGTGGCTCGGACAATCCTTTGCCTGTACGCCAGGCTCAGAAACCGAATACCCACATCATGAGCAAGGAGGGCTGTAGAAGCCGTACGACTTGCTCTTGGATGAGTAATGCTGGAATAAAAGAAACCGATCCAATTGGAGATACCATTGCAGAGTACAGAGGAGGCAGTGCACTCAAAAGAAAAAAAAAAAAAAGTCAGACTTTTTTCCTATTCATTTTATTTCACAAGGGAGCTAGAAGCAGCTTCCTTGTCAGAGCTCCTCTCCCCAGACTTTTTATTGCCATTAAACGTTGACAGTACTACACAGTCTCTTGCAGTGCAAGAATTTTGTTCATGTTAATAATTCAAGCTGGCACCTGCAATTGCCTCCACCGCTTACAGTCTGCGTCTGTTTACAGCACCGATGAACACGACTTTACTTCCAGATGCCAGCCTGCGAGGACTGAAGTACAACCACACACACGTCGCCGCGCGACACCCGCACTGGGGAAGGCAAACTGAAAAAGGCCTGCGTGTGCGTGTGTGTGCACACGCAGAAGGGCAGCACAGGGAGAGGGCACAGCTGTCCACTGAAATCCAAAGCGTCCGATCTGTTTGATCTTTGCCAACAGGACCCATCCTGCCAGGCGCTGAACATGTCTCTCACTGACGAGGAACAGGACAAACCTTGCTCGAGCATAACTGGAGCAGAGGAACTAACTTTTTTTAAAATGGAGCACTTTAGAGAGAGGCAGAATCCTATTCCACATGTGAGCCTGTACCTACCATTTATTTTCATTAACGACTTCTTTAGTCCCAAGTTCTTCCATCTACGAAACAGGCTACCAGCAAATTAATTTAACATTTTTTTTAAAAAAACCCTAATAATATTTAGCATAAACTGCTGCTGATGCAGACCTTTGATCTGCTTCTGTTTGTCCACGGCTTTTAAGTGACCCAATCCCAGCTCCTGATTTCTGAGCATACCAGCAAAATCAGCTACCAGCTGCAAACAACACCACACACCACAGTCCCCGAGCTTACGAAGCGAGAGAGGCTTACCGAAGCAGCAGCTCTTTTGGAAGTTTTTTGTTGATTACAGCTTCATCATTGTTTGAGAACATCTGTAAACAAAAACAATTTAACATTTTAGTCATCTTTTCATTAAGGAAACAAACCCTACTTTAGGGAAGAAGCTTCTGGTCAACAAGGGCATTTCAAGAGAGAACTGGCCCCGTAAATTCCCAAAAGATAAAACTTTGTGCGCAAGCGTTCAAACTCCTGGATGGGACTCTAGTTGGATAGAGCATTACCTGCAATATAGTTTAAAATATGGTCCAAGAATGCTTTGTGGATTGATAGATTAAATATAAACTGAGATTTTCATTTATCTATTGAAGTAAATGATAACCAGAGGGTACATGTGGGCTAGCACTGACGACAGGACTGTATCACCTACGGCATTACTACAGGCTTCCATCCGCGTGACGGTTCTCTGAAGGTACACTAGAGCACAGGCACCTTGAAATCGTCAAGCCTAACTACGCATCAAACAGGCAGATGGCAAAGGGGCTGGAGGGCAGGGCCACGACGAGAACCACCACACAGCCCCAGCGCCCACCCAACGGCGGCCGACGACGCAGGCACAGCAGGGCTGGGTTCCCAACAGCACAGGGCGCAGAGCGCTGGCGAACGGGACAGGGGACTGGAGCATCTCTCCTACGAGGAGAGGCTGAGGGAGCTGGGCTTGTTCAGCCTGGAGAAGAGAAGGCTGTGAGGGGACCTCATAAATGCTTACAAATATCTGCAGGGTGGGTGTCAGGAGGATGGGGCCAGGCTCTTTCCAGTGGTGCCCAGCGACAGGACAAGGGCCAACGGGCAC